AAAAAATATCAAGTATGGACAGTTAGTATAAATGTTATTAAGTTTACAAAATAATAATAATAAAAAGAAATTTGATAACTGTTTTATGATAGTGTTAGCCCATATGCATATTGTCCTTTTTTTTTTTTTTTTAATTTACATTTTCCATTAGAAGATACTTATATTTAAAAGTCAAGTGGACTATGTATTTGTGGTGATGACCCCACAAACAAATAATATTTACATTTTATTTTCAATAGTCCTTTAGATATTATTAATCAAAATTACAAAGTCATGGCCTTCAATTAAAAAAGTTGACTTTGTGCCCATTTATTTTCTACCATCTATCCATCTACCAAAAAACAAGAGTTTAATTTAATTTAATTACAGTTTACTTTATACATAATATAATATAATATGTACTACCTCCTATTCTTTTTAAATGTCATTTTAGCATTATCAACTATTAACAAAATAAATGTCGTTTTAGATATTTTGTACATATTTTTCCATTATTATCCTCATTTAGTTAATAAATACACTAGTCTTTTCATATTCACTGTTCATCTTTTTTCAAAACATTTATCTTTATCATTATTAATGAGGGTTATTATTGGCAAAAAGATTATTCTTAATAACTGTGCAAATACGACTCCCGCGCCACTAGTCGGTCTCCGCGCCGACGTTCTGCAAAAATCAGCCTCCGCAGAATCAGAAAAAGACAAGTGCACATCTCAACCACCGCCACTCGTGCAGCGTTGCCCAAGCTGATGGTAATCTCGCCCTCACTTAGCTGTTTTTGCCAAAATAAAATCTACTTTTTCCTTTCACTCACTCGCACGCACACAAAACACAACAAATTCTATTATACGCCGCGTTGAGTCCCAGCTGACGTGGCACCCCAACCACCCCCGCCGCCGCCTCCGGCCAACATCCACCGCCATATGAATCAGAAGACTTGGCCATGCAGATCGGACGGCCGCCATTTCACATCCCTCCCCTTCGTCCGGAAAACTCCCGGCGACCCGTCGGCCCCGGCAAAACCCCCCAAGAAACACCTCTCCCTATTCTCCGCGAGCGCTCAATCGCCGCCTCCGGCGGCGAGCCCCGACTTCGCCGCGCTTCCCTACGACGTCGTCTCGAGGATCGCGGCGTCGTTCAGGCTGCCCGACCTGAGGGCGGCCTCGCTCGCGTGCCGGGCGTGGAGAGACGCGCTGAGGCCCCTGCGCGAGGCCATGGTGTTTTTGAGGTGGGGAAAGAGGTTAAAGCACGGGCGGGGAGGGTCGGGGAGGGTCGACCCAGCCCGGGTGCTGGAGTGCTTCCTCAAGGGGGCGGCGCGTGGGTCCACGCTGGCGATGGTGGACGCGGGGCTGATCTGTTGGGAAATGGGGAAAAGGGAGGAGGGGGTTTTCTGGTACCGGCGGGCGGCCGAGCTCGGCGACCCGGCCGGGCAGTGTAATTTGGCTATTGCGTATTTGCAAGGTAAATTTTGTGCTGTTCAATTTTGGGGGTTTCTGATTTGCAGATTTCTTTGTGATAATCCAGTGACTAATAACAGTGTTTTTCTCCAATTTTCTGATTTTTTGTTGTTTTTTATATTGATTTTTCTTAATTTTGTTTGATATCAGTGTTAATGAAATTTGTTTAGAGAGAAAAGACTTGATTTTTATCGTGCATTTCAAGCTCGACGGTGTGTTGAAAGTAGATGAATAGAAAAGACTTGGTTTGTATCGCGCAATGTCAAGCTTGATAGTGTGTTAAAAGTATATGTACCTATTCTTCTGGTTCACAACTTTGTAGTTCTGTTTGATTAATTTTTATTCTCCATATGAAGAACTTGAATTGCCCGAAAAGTTTCCGGTAAGTTCCATTTTTTCTTGCTTTTCGAATGCACATGTATCTGATTCTCAGTTAAAGAATATCGATTATTGGCTTTCTTGATATTGTTTGATATCCATAAAATAATGGGATAGTCGATTAGGTAGTTCACGCACACAGAGTGCTCTTGTTTTTTGATGCTCGTAAAAGAATCATGGGTTTCACACTATGCAAAGAGCATGCAATTTCGATACTCTTTTTACCCGTTCATGTTCGTTTCAGCATTTTATATTCTCAAAATATTTGTTCAAATTGGTATACTTATGTGCCAGTCAAATTTGTATTGTATATATCATGTAATTGATGGGTATGTAAACGTTAACAGATAATCCACCTAACAACAACCAAGCAATAAAGTGGTTGTACAAATCCTCATTTGCCGGTCATGTCCGTGCCCAATACCAACTTGCGCTCTGTCTGCATCAAGGTCGAGGAGTAGGAAAAAGCCTTCAAGAAGCGGTATAAATTCATTTTTTTAATGGTTTTTCTTTTCAAAGAAGAAAATTTCAGTTTTCCTTTGTCTTGGATTTTGGTAGGCTCGTTGGTATTTATCGGCTGCTGAAGGAGGGTATGTTCGTGCAATGTATAATACGTCTTTGTGCTATTTAATGGGCGAGGGTTTGGTGCAATCTCATAGGTTAGCAAGAAAGTGGATGAAGAAGGCAGCTGATCATGGTCACAGCAAAGCACAGTTTGAGCACGGTTTAGGTCTTTTCTCGGTATGTGATAATAAACTTACTCTTTTCTCGGTATGTGATAATAAACACAGTTTGGAGAAAATGGAACAATGAAAGCAACTTCCGTTTGGATAGTTGCAAAAAGTCCAGGGAAGTTACAAAATTTAGGGGAAAAAAATACCCGTATGGCTCGATTGTGTGTTAGATTTATAAAGACAAAACCTTTTGTTCACTTGATTGAGATCCAAAATGTGGTTTCGACATGTGAAAAAATTATAAACAAAAACAGTGAAGTATCTTACTAGTTATTATAATACTGTTGTTTGACAGGAAGGAGATATGATGAAGGCTGTCGTGTACTTAGAACTGGCGACTAGGGCCGGTGAAAGGGCTGCTGCTCACGTAAAGAATGTTATCCTTCAACAATTATCGACAGTTTCTCGTGATCGAGCTATACTTCTTGCCGACACCTGGCGAGCTTTGCCCGCCTCTCGATGAATAATGTTTTTTCAAGTATATTCTTTGGCTCCTCTTTGATTTATATATTCTGATGTGTAAGATATAGATATCTATATATATATAAATATTATGTAAATACATACTTTGATTTTTCCTTGTTTCAAGGTAGATATATATAGTTTGCTGAGAATGTCTTGCATGTTATTGTTGACTTACACATAATGTTTGTAATTGCAATATGCAAGTATTATGTAATGAAGCTGGCCTAAATAACATAAGTAGTACAAATGCTTGATTATTAATTTATTAATATCCCCACTAAATAACTCCTCCAACCCAGCTACCTTCAAAATTGCCTTTGGGCCACAAGTAGGCCCGAATGCCTCTGGGCCACAAGCAAGCCCGAATGAGACTGATGAAACACGCTCAGTTGATACACCGCCTGCGAAATCAACTCCCTCAGCTTCGGGTATTGGGCTATGAAAGCCCGATCGACCCCTTCAAAAGCCCCCAAAATCCCAGCCCGCTCCAAATCCTCACTCTTCCCGGCATGAATCGCAAGATAACACGTCAGCACAAGCCCATTCAACTGGGCCTTCTCGTTCCCTCTCAACAGCCTTATAAGTGGCGGGACCCCACCAAAGTCGATAATCGTCTTGCAATGCTCGGCACACAGGAAATTATCCGGGCACGCAAATTTCCCGAGCGAGCCCGCAACCTCGGCCGCTACGTCACCATTCCTGTGGCCCAACAGCTCGACTAAAGGCCTGATAACTCTCGTCTCGCGG